TAGCCTGGCCTTATGTTTGTCCAGCACTACATTTAAAATAAAATGCTTTTTATATATTGTGATTAAAAGCTGGTCTTAATCAGGTTGTTGATGCCAGAATCCAACTTTTTACAATGCCCTTTTTTTTGCAAATATTGTAGTGTTGTAGAATCACATTTTAGGAACATAGTTAGCTACTTCTATTTTCTTTATCTATTTTGGTTTTCTCTAAACTGGTTTTGCTGCTATGCAGTAATGCTCTCAAAACATATTTTAAAAACATATTATGACCATATAAGGTTATCTAAGTGGACGTAGCAGCTTAACATTTCTGATATTGTATTCACAACTGCTTGTCATTTTTATTTTAGTCAAATAAACGTTTAGTTCATTGTGTTTCCACTGGCATTTTGTGTATTATCTTACTAATGCAATTCCTGTCATTTTATAAAGGTAATTATAAACCGGGTCGTTCGAGCCCTGGATGCTAATTGCTGAATGCTGTGGTATGTGAGACAATATATCACAGGTATGACACAATATTACTTGTTTACTCTTCTAATTATGTTGATAACCTGTTTATAATAGCAATAAGGCACCTTGGGAGTTGGTGGTATACAGCCAATATACCACGGCTAAGGGCTGTATCCAGGTACTCCGCATTGTGTCGTGCAGAAGAACCGCCCATAGCTGTGGTATATTGGCCATATACCACAACCCCTTGGGCCTTATTGGCTAAATATACCACGGGTATGATGCAAAACTACTTGCTTACTGTTCTAATTACGTGTTTATAATAGTAATAAGGCACCTCAGGGGTTTGTGGTATATGGCCAATATACCACGGCTATACCACTCCGCGTTGCATCGTGCCTAAGAACTGCTCTTAGCCGTGGTATATTGGCCATATACAGTGAGGGAAAACATTTATTTGATTCCCTGCTGATTTTGTACGTTTGCCCACTGACAAAGACATGATCAGTCTATAATTTTAATGGTAGGTTTATTTGAACAGTGAGAGACAGAATAACATTAAAAAAATCCAGAAAAACACATGTCAAAAATGTTATAAATTGATTTGCATTTTAATGAGGGAAATAAGTATTTGACCCCTCTACAAAACATGACTTAGTACTTGGTGGCAAAACCCTTGTTGGCAATCACAGAGGTCAGACGTTTCTTGTAGTTGGCCACCAGGTTTGCACACATCTCAGGAGGGATTTTGTCCCACTCCTCTTTGCAGATCTTCTCCAAGTCATTAAGGTTTCGAGCCTGACGTTTGGCAACTCGAACCTTCAGCTCCCTCCACAGATTTTCTATGGGATTAAGGTCTGGAGACTGGCTAGGCCACTCCATAACCTTAATGTGCTTCTTTAGCCACTCCTTTGTTGCCTTGGCCATGTGTTTTTGGTCATTGTCATGCTGGAATACCCATCCACGACCCATTTTCAATGCCCTGGCTGAGGGAAGGAGGTTTCTCACCCAAGATTTGACGGTACCTGGCCCCGTCCATCGTCCCTTTGATGTGGGGAAGTTGTCCTGTCCCCTTAGCAGAAAAACACCCCCAAAGCATAATGTTTCCACCTCCATGTTTGAAGGTGGGGATGGTGTTCTTGGGGTCATAGGCAGCATTCCTCCTCCTCCAAACACGGCGAGTTGAGTTGATGCCAAAGAGCTCGATTTTGGTCTCATCTGACCACAACACTTTCACCCAGTTCTCCTCTGAATCATTCAGATGTTCATTGGCAAACTTCAGACGGGCCTGTATATGTGCTTTCTTGAGCAGGGGGACCTTGCGGGCGCTGCAGGATTTCAGTCCTTCACGGCGTAGTGTGTTACCAATTGTTTTCTTGGTGACTATGGTCCCAGCTGCCTTGAGATCATTGACAATATCCTCCCGTGTAGTTCTGGGCTGATTCCTCACCGTTCTCATGATCATTACAACTCCACGAGGTGAGATCTTGCATGGAGCCCCAGGCCGAGGGAGATTGAGAGACAGGTTGAGAGCTTCAAGTTCCTTGGTGTCCACATCACCAACGAACTATCATGGTCCAAACACACCAAGACAGTCGTGAAGAGGGCACGACAAAGCCTATTCCCCCTCAGGAGACTAAAAAGATTTGGCATGGGTCCTCAGATCCTCAAAAAATTCTACAGCTGCACCATCGAGAGCATCCTGACTGGTTGCATCACCGCCTGGTATGGCAACTGCTTGGCCTCTGACCGCAAGGCACTACAGAGGGTAGTGCGTACGGCCCAGTACATCACTGGGGCAAAGCTCCCTGCCATCCAGGACCTCTATACCAGGCGGTGTCAGAGGAAGGCCCTCAAAATTGTCAAAGACTCCAGTCACCCTAGTCATAGACTGTTCTCTCTGCTACCGCACGGCAAGCGGTACCGGAGTGCCAAGTCTAGGTCCAAAAGACTTCTCAACAGCTTCTACCCCCAAGCCATAAGACTCCTGAACAGCTAATCATGGCTACCCGGACTATTTGCACTGCCCCCCCCACCCCATCCTTTTTACGCTGCTGCTACTCTGTTAAGTATTTATGCATAGTCACTTTAACTCTACCCACATGTACATATTACCTCAACTAGCCGGTGCCCCCGCACATTGACTATGCAACAGTACCCCCCTGTATATATAGCCTCCCTACTGTCACTTTATTCTATTGTATATATAGCCTCCCTACTGTCACTTTATTTTTTACTTCTGCTCTTTTTTTTCTCAACACTTTTTTGTTGTTGTTTTATTCTTACTTTTTTGTTTAAAATAAATGCACTGTTGGTTAAGGGCTGTAAGTAAGCATTTCACTGTAATGTCTGCACCTGTTGTATTCGGCGCATGTGACCAATAAAATTTGATTTGATTTGACAGTTCTTTTGTGTTTCTTCCATTTGCGAATAATCGCACCAACTGTAGTCACCTTCTCACCAAGCTGCTTGGCGATGGTCTTGTAGCCCATTCCAGCCTTGTGTAGGTCTACAATCTTGTCCCTGACATCCTTGGAGAGCTCTTTGGTCTTGGCCATGGTGGAGAGTTTGGAATCTGATTGATTGATTGCTTCTGTGGACAGGTGTCTTTTATACAGGTAACAAGCTGAGATTAGGAGCACTCCCTTTAAGAGTGTGCTCCTAATCTCAGCCCGTTACCTGTATAAAAGACACCTGGGAGCCAGAAATCTTTCTGATTGAGAGGGGGTCAAATACTTATTTCCCTCATTAAAATGCAAATCAATTTATAACATTTTTGACATGCGTTTTTCTGGATTTTTTTGTTGTTATTCTGTCTCTCACTGTTGAAATAAACCTACCATTAAAATTATAGACTGATCATTTCTTTGTCAGTGGGCAAACGTACAAAATCAGCAGGGGATCAAATACTTTTTTCCCTCACTGTAACTCACCCCCTAGGCCTTATTGCTTAAATCTACCTGTGTTTTTAATCTCTAGCTCAGGCGAAATCCCCACCTGCTTCAAGATGTCCACTATGATCCCCATATTGTTATTTATTTTGCTAATTTGCACCCCAGTATCTCTATTTGCACATCGTCTTTTGCACATCTATCATTCCAGTGTTAATACGAAATTGTAACTATTTTGCACTATGGCCTATTTATTGCCTTACCTCCATAACTTACTACATTCGTACTATATATTTTCTGTTTGTATTTTTGACTTTATGTTTAGTTTACCCCATATGTAACTCTGTGTTGTTGTTTTTATCACACTGCTTTGCTTTATCTTGGCCAGGTCGCAGTTGTAAATGAGAACTTGTTCTCAACTGGCTTACCTGGTTAAATAAAGGTGAAATAAAAAACAAAACAAAAAATCCCTGTGCCCAAGAAAGGGAAAGTAACTGAACTGAATGACTACCAACACGTAGCACTCACTTCTGTCATCATGAAGTGCTTCGAGAGGCTAGTCAAAGACCACATCACCGCCTCCCTCCCCAACACACTCGACCCTCTCCAATTCGCCTACCGCCCTGACAGATCCATGGACGACGCAATCACCATTGTACTGCACACTTCCCTCACCCACCTGGACAAAAGGAATGCATATGTGAGGATGCTGCTCATCGACTACAGTTCGGCCTTCAACACCATAGTGCCCTCTAAGCTCACCACAAAGCTTACGGCCCTGGGACTGATCTCCTCCCTATGCAACTGGGTCCTGGACTTCCTGATGGGCGTCCTCAGCCTCCTCCTGTACTCACTGTGTACCCACAACTGCGTGGTCTCACACAGTTTCAACTCCATCAAGTTTGCTGACGACACGACAGTAGTAGGCCTGATTACCAACAACGATGAGACAGCCTACAGGGAGAAGGTAGGCACTCTGACGTTGTGGTGCCAGGTAAACAACCTCAACGTCAGCAAAACAAAGGAGCTGATTGTGGACTTCAGGAGGTACCAGGCTGGGCACGCCCCCATCCTCATCAACGGAGCCGCCATGGAGATGGTCAAAAAGTTAAAGTTCCTTGGCCTACACATCTCCGAGGAGCTGAAATGGTCAAACCACACAGACACTGTGGTGAAGAAGGCACGATAGCGACTCTTCAACCTCAGGATGCTGAAGAAATTCAGCCTGTCCCCGAGGGCCCTCACAGTGTTCTACAGGAGCACCATCAAGAACATCACAGCCTGGTATGGCAACTCCACCGCCACAGACCGCAAGGCACTACAGAGGGTGGTACGATCAGCTGAATGCACCATTGGGTGCACACTGTCGCAGGAAGGCCAAGAAGATCATCAGGGACCCCAGCCATCCGAGCCATGGTCCGTTCTCTCTGTTTCCATTACTCAGACGCATCATGGCAAAAACTGTTTAACTGGCCAATAGCTTCTACCCCCAGACCATCATCACTAGTCAGCTACCTGTTCCCCCCTGTACCCTGTAATTACATACATCTGCAACCCTGTACATGTGTACTCTCTAATCTAATATATGTATTTACCGCTAGGTGGCAGTCATCACAGGTCTGTGTGTCCGGCGTCGTCAGAGAATCTAGATACGTAGCTAGAGAACCTCGCTTGTTGTGGTGGCTAACGACGAGAAGCATGCTACGGTTCTCAATTTAGTGATATTCGCCCGATAGTAGGCGAAATCTGCAGAAATGGGGAAAAGAGACAATAGAGTGGTAAGCAATGTGTTAAATAATTCCAGCCATGTAGATATTCAGCTTTTTACGGTAAATGTTATGCATGAAAAAAAAAATGTTGGCTATAGCTAGCTAACTGGCACTGAAAACGCATGGGCCTGTAGGTATGTTAGGTAGGCCCTATAAGTTAGCGTTAGTGTGCAGGACAAGTCGAATTCCATTAAAACAAGCTATATCAAAGGTTCACAAATTTGAGTTATTTTAACATACGATATCTATATCGAATGAATATAGCTAGCTAGGCAAACTAACCTGGCAGATAACGAAGAACACGTAAACGTTAGCAGGTCGCCTGAAGGACCGCTAACCGTGCCACAACTGAACTAACGTAGCTATCTATTTAGGTCGAAATTATAGTTATGTTATATTTCGCTAGTTTATAATAATATAGCGAACTAGCTAGCACAACCTGTGTCTATTAAAATAACATAATCCAAAACGCGCGGGAGAAAAAAAAAAAAAAACGAACCATTTTGTATTTATTTTTAAATTTTTAGCAGACGCTCTTATCCAGAGCGACTTACATGAGCAATTAGGGTTAAGTGCCTTGCTCAAGGTCACATCGACAGATTTTTCACCTAGTCAGCTCTGGGATTAGAACCAGCGACCTTTCGGTTACTGGTACAACGCTCTTAACCTCTAAGCTACCTGCCGAACTAGTTAGCTAACGCCTGCCAACTAGGCTCGAGTTCATCATTACCAGAATTGCCCGGACTGGCTATGTACGCTGTATCTATGTTATCAATGTGTAAACATTACCTTTGTATGGAAAGGCCATAGAATTGGCATTGACTGTCTAGTCAATTACTGAACCAACATAGCCAGGTCCAAATATTGTGTGTTATTATGCTTCCAATTCCTGTCTAGACAAGTGTTATTGTCTAAGGTAGCTAGATGTCATCATTGAGGTGTCTGGTCTGACTGTCTCCCTTGTGTGTTTTCAGTCGTATGTGAACCCCATAGCTGCATCACGGGCCAAGGGACCCGCACCCAACGCAGGACCGTCTATCCAGGATTACCTGAGCAGACCACGTCCAACATGGTAAGCATAAGATAACACACCTAAGGACCCAGGATTTGTGCCTGAAAAGCTCTCTAGAGATGGACATACCCTCATTGATATTGCTGAAGAATGTCAACGGGTAACATGGTGGATCCTATGTGTGTAAATCGGGGTGGTAAGGCATTGCTCTCTTATAATACTTGGCTACACACTATGGAATGCTGCCTGCAAGTCACAAGAACATTTTGCCATGCCCTTGAATGTTTGGACATGCATCACCATCAGTTGTGATCCATTGATTTTCATTGAGTGATGGTCGTTTTTCTTCCTTCATCAGGGAAGAGGTGAAGGAGATCATAGAGAGGAAGAAGAAAGGCTCCAGAGCCCTGGCGGACTTTGAGGATCAAATGAACGAGGTATTGTTCAAATGTCAACAGTTGTACTTTATTATACTGTACAAATTCAGTGTTATATTTTGCTTACATTAAAATATCACAATTTGCATTTTATAGAATTGGAAGAAAGAGCTGGCGAAGAACAGAGAGAAGTTACTAGGTGGCGTTGACAAGGAGAAAGAGGAGAAGGAAAAGAAAGAGAAGGAGAAGAAAGAGAAGGAGAAGAAGGAGAAGAAGGAGAAGAAAGAGGTATGCTTCCAGTTCCATCCATGTCTTAACCTTTTAATGCAGCCATTTTGTTTTAACGTATCCACCTCTCACTCCAAATCTCTGTTTTGTGTTTAGAAAAAGAAGAAGGAGAAGGAAAGGAAAGAAAGGGGAAAGAAATCCAATAGGGTGAGGAAAGCTGTCTCCAATGTTTTGTTGAAGACTGTTGGTGTACATATTGCGGTAGTGGTATCTGTCCTCTAAAAAAGGCATCTTTTCACAAAGGTATTTTTGTGTCAGTTGCGGTCTTCAAATCTAATGAGCTCTGCTTTCATTGTGTTTGGTCAAGCATTCCTCTCCCTCCTCCTCCTCATCGAGTTCTGATTCCTCTAGCAGCTCCTCCTCAGACTCTGAAGACGAGGTATGTAGCAGAGTATTTGGTGACAAGTCTGTGTCAGCTTGCCATACTGTTTCCCAGCCACCCTGTGGGCACCATAGAAATATAATTAATTAGAAGTAATTCTATTTCTAAGGTAGGCACAAAGAGCTGTGTGAAGTATTGTGAATTACATTTTTACTGTCCATATTTTATTTGGGGATTGGCTTCTACCCCCTTTATGAATATTGAGAAAGTGATGGATCGTATTCAATGCGTTTCCAGTTAAATATTGTCCTACTATTTCAAAGAGGGAAATATGATAGACTGAAACTGATTGTGTTTTTATCTGATGTCTGTTTGGTCAGAATGAAAAGAAGAGTGTCAAAAAGAAACGGAAAAAGAAGCGGTCCTCCTTCAAGAAGGCATCGGAAGACTCGACTGTAGAATCTGAGCCCGACAGCAAGGTTAGTTTGATGTGAAGAGTATTCCACCTATTTTCATAAATTAAAATGACTTATTTCATTATGTAAGACGTCCATCTGGATACTTCTGGTCAAGATCTTATGTTCTGGATGATGCACTATTTCGTCTTCTTAATATCACTCTTTTTATGTTGGCCCTCACTGTCATTGTGTTTCTCTGTTCAGCCATTGTTTGATTTCTGTTCATTCATTTCAAAGTTGAACTTTTTTTGTTTGTTACATGAGTACTTCATTAAATCTTCATGTTTTGTATGCAAAAAAGGGCTCCTTCCCTCTCATTCTGTTTCTCTCCAAGAAGACGAAGATGGAGATGGAGATGAAGAAGAAGAAAGATGAGGAGAAAGAGAAGGTACTTTAACAACATTCGTGTATCTGTTAGTCCTGTTTTGTGTATTGCTGCCTGAAAGAGTGTTTGAACATGCTGGGCTGCAGTGAACTGAGGGCTGTAAATGTTTACCCTTCAGGATGAAAAGAGCCGCAGGAAGAAGAGGAAAGCCGAGCGAAGTCATAAAGACTCATCCTCGGAGTCGTCGGCTGACTCAGAAGTGGAGGAGGGTGTAAGTATATTCACCTTTCTCTCCACTATATTAATTTGCCATGTTTAATGACTGAAAATAATGTGTTATGTATTGACTTGGATGACTGCTTATGGGATGGATATTTGTTCCTCATTGGAGGGCATTGGTCATCCGTAGTTGAAGTATTACATTAAAAAAAAAATTTTTTTAGTCATTTAGCAGACGCTCTTATCCAGAGCAACTTACAGTTAGCACATACATTATTTTATCGAACCCACAACCCTGGCGTTGCAAACGCCATGCTCTACCAACTGTGTCATTGTGAAATACTGAACTTTTGTATTGGACGTTGGGAAGCTGTCAGCGGACTTTGCCCATCCGTTGTGGTGTGTTAATGTTTGCTATGTCTCTGTAGGGTGAACCCAAGAAGAGAAAGAGAACTAATGAGGAGAAAGACAAAATAGCAGCAGTAAGTGGATGTCAGATAAGCATACACTAACCACAGGATGAAAACGGACACTTTATTTTTGTGTGCAGTGTCCTGTGACTAGTGACCAAAATACACTATATATACAAAAGTATGTGGACACCCCTTCAAATTAGTGAATTCGGCTATTTCAGCCACACCCGTTTCTGAAGGTGTATAAAATCGAGCACACATCCATGCAATCTCCATAGACAAACATTGGCAGTAGAATGGCCTTACTGAAGAGCTCAAGTGACTTTCAACGTGGCACTGTCATAGGATGCCACCTTTCCAACAAGTCAGTTCGTCAAATTTCTGTCCTGCTAGAGTTGCCCCGGTCAACTGTATGTGCTGTTATTGTGAAGTGGAAACTTATAGGAGCAACAACGGCTCAGCCGCAGAGTGGTAGGCCACACAAGCTCACAGAACGGGACCACTGAGTGCTGAAGGGCGTAGTTTAAAAAAGATAGTCTGTCCTCGGTTTCCATGGCCGAGCAGCTGCACACAAGCCTAACATCACCATGCGCAGTGCCATGCGTCGGCTGGAGTGGTGTATAGCTCGCCACCATTGAACTCGGGTTCGGTGGAAACGTGTTCTGTAGAGTGATGAATCACGCTTCACCATCTGGCAGTCCAACGGACAAATCTGGGTTTGGCGGATGCCTGGAGAACGCTACCTCCCCCAATGCATAGTGCCAACTGTAAAGTTTGGTGGAGGAGGAATAATGGTCTGGGGCTGTTTTTCATGGTTTGAGCTGGGCCCCTTAGTTCCAGTCAAGGGAAATCTTAATGCTACAGCATACAATTAAATTCTTGATGATTCTGTGCTTCCAACTTTGTGGCAACATTTTGGGGAAGGACCTTTCCTGTTTCAGCATGACAATGCCCCCGTGCACAAAGTGAGGTCCATACAGAAATGGTTTGTCGAGATCGGTGTGGAAGAACTTGACTGGCCTGCACAGAGCCCTGACCTCAACCCCATCGCACACCTTTGGGATGAATTGGAACGCCGACTGCGAGCCAGGCCTAATCACCCAACATCAGTGCCCGACCTCACTAATTCTCTTGTGGCTGAATGGAAGCAAGTCCCCGCAGCAATGTTCCAACATCTAGTGGAAAGCCTTCCCAGAATAGTGGATGCTGTTATAGCAGCAAAGTGGGGACCAACTCCATATTAATGCCCATGATTTTGGAATGAGATGTTTGACGAGCAGGTGTCCACATACTTTTGGTCATGTAGTGTATGTTAGCAAATTACCAGACAATGGCAACATGCCTCTGTCAGCAGATAACTACATGGTTAACCCTTAGAATTGTTTAAAATGTAACGCATTTGTAATATAATATATGCCATTTAGCAGATGCTTTTATCCAAAGCAACTTAGTCATGCATGCATACATTTTAACATATGGGTGGTCCCTGGAATCGAACTCAATACCCTGGCGTTACAAGCGCCATGCTCTACTAACTGAGCTACAAAGGACCACATACAATATATTACAATACTGCCTGAGTAATATATTTTTCTGCACCGACAAATGTTATAGAAAAACAGCAAAATGGAAGTGTAACACTTCCCTATCCACCTGTTGTAAATGTTAACAGGACAAATCAAAGAAGAAAAGGAAAAGGAAGCACAAGAAACACGGGAGGAAGAAGAAGAAGAAGAAGACCTGTTCTGACGCAGAGTTAGGTTCTCTGTCCAACTGTCCACCTGTAGAGAGCATCTGCCTTTTGACTACCAAAAAATCCCATGACGGGGCTAGTTGATGGACTATGCGAACCGGTGGCTTCCTGCTCATGAGAGTTGAGATGGTAGGGATATGGGGTTTCAAATGTTAACTAAGGACTGGTGACCTGGGAGTTACGGGTCATCAAACCCTCTGTGACAACTTTGCAGATTTGTTTTTCTTTTCTTTTTTGTTGATTAGTTTTTATTAGATCAAAATTAACGTCGACAAGGACACCATAAGTCGTGTCAAGTGTGGCCCAACTGAAACATTTGCATATAAAACGAAAATGAACTTCCATAAATGGATATTGACCAGCAGTGTACATTTTTTACACCCTTGGTATGCTGCCCAACTATGTCTATTTGACACTTCTTGGAGATCTCGTGCGTCGCTAGCTACACAGTGAGGTCATTTTGGGACTTTGTTATGCTGGTGCCAGTGTCATGATGCATGCATTCTGATATGATGGTCACTTCTCTTGCCAGCCTCATATTGAAGTTGGGATTGTCATAATCACAAGAGATAAATTGTTCCATTCTGTTGTAATTAATTCTACAACTGAATATCTATAACTGAATGGGTTTTAATTATTAAAGTATTCTTGTTTTAGCCTTGATAATATTGTTTTTTTTTGTGTGTATGGATGGATGATGAATGATTTGAATGGGATGAGAGTAACCTTTATACTTGTAATTTATCATCCAGGAAGCATTATGAAATAAATCTACAATTTTGATATGGAGAAGTCCCAAAATGTATGACTGAAGATTTATGCCAATGCAACATAATTTGGGTCATAAAATAAAACAATTGTGAAATGGAGAAGTCACTTAATTTCAGGGGGGTGGACATTAAACAAACCATCTGTGGACTTCCTCAAACTGGACAAAGTTCCTCATGGTTACATTCAGTTTCCCTGAAACTCAAAATGTATGCCAATGCAACATCATTTTGCAAGGTTCATGAAATAAAACGAGAGTGGAAAAGAGAAGTAACACAATTTCAGGGGGATGGACATAAGAGCCAAACCGAAGTTTAAACTGTAACAAAGCGGACACGATGCCTCTGTTTTGGTAAAAAGCTGAAGTGAGGATGGGCCCAGAGAAATGTAACCACTCTCAAATTCATAGGCCGCTATGGATGACCAGCCATGATCTCAAAATTAGCATTTTAACAATGTTTTGAGGCTATACAGTGTTTGTTTACATGTACAGTGTTTACAAATATTGGAGTAAAACAAGCTTATTTTGGGTTGTGATGGGGTGTGACAGTTAAACATTACATTTTAGTCATTTAGCAGACGCTCTTATCCAGAGCGACTTACAGTTAGTGAGTGCATACATTTTCATACTGGTCCCCCGTGGGAGTCGAACCCACAACCCTGGCGTTGCAAACGCCATGCATGCTCATGAGGCATTTATACATTATATTCTTTAAGAATCAATCAGTATATATTATTAAGTGCAAAGATTGATGTAGCAACTGCAGATTGCCCCTTTAAAGCTGGAATCTGCAGGTCGTGGGCGACCAAATGCCGCCCCACTTGTGTAGTGTTTTCACTTTGAACGAAAACAACGGGGTTGAGCCCTGAGCTGCCACAAAGATTATGGATATACTGTCAAGATACATGTCTCTCCGCCCTAACAATGGGAGTCGTTGTCCACAAAGCGGCACCGTGGACTGTCTATCTCCCGCCTATCCTTTCTTTGGATTGGTGGATGCATCTCATTATTGTAATAGTTTTTTGAATATTCGTTGAGTGTTGTTTATGTCAATCATCTGTATTCAATGGAGAGAGATGCTATGCTACTATCCTCATTCAATGAATATGCATAGCCATCTCCGATTGTTTTTTCTCAATGTTGCCGGGATTTCACGTGTCCTACGTATATCAGTACACTTGTAACAATTTAAGAATTACGAAACTTATTTTCAATCAAATAAACCTTGACCCTCCCATTGACCTCCTTCCTTGGTAGGAGAAACAGCGCCACCTGCTGGAGGGAGACAGATTTCCAGCCGAGTTGGGCCTCTTCCTCTCTGGCTGCCTTGGGCGAAAAGGGGGTAGCTGCATCCCAATATGGCGACTGGAGAATTGGTCTGTGGGTGTGTCGAAAGGAAAGTAGTGGGCGTGTGGAAATGAGTGGGTGTGTTGAAAGGAAAGGAGTGGGCGTGTCGAAAGCGCTGCTTCATGCATTGTATGCTTACTGTGACTGTCACCCTGATATTGGCTACTAGGTAGAAACTTCCCATGCAGTTGCCGGACAGTAGTGCTTGTCAAGTGGGAGCGAAGAGCACTGTGTCCCAGCGTTGCTGCCTTTTATACCCTCCCCATTAAGTAGTAGACTGTATGTACAGTGGGGGGAAAAAGTATTTAGTCAGCCACCAATTGTGCAAGTTCTCCCACTTAAAAAGATGAGAGAGGCCTGTCATTTTCATCATAGGTACATGTCAACTATGACAGACAAAATGAGAAAAATAATCCTGAAAATCACATTGTAGGATTTTTAATGAATTTATTTGCAAATTATGGTGGAAAATAAGTATTTGGTCAATAACAAAAGTTTCTCAATACTTTGTTATATACCCTTTGTTGGCAATGACACAGGTCAAACGTTTTCTGTAAGTCTTCACAAGGTTTTCACACACTGTTGCTGGTATTTTGGCCTATTCCTCCATGCAGATCTCCTCTAGAGCAGTGATGTTTTGGGGCTGTCGCTGGGCAACACGGACTTTCAACTCCCTCCAAAGATTTTCTATGGGGTTGAGATCTGGAGACTGGCTAGGCCACTCCAGGACCTTGAAATGCTTCTTACGAAGCCACTCCTTCGTTGTCCGGGCGGTGTGTTTGGGATCATTGTCATGCTGAAAGACCCAGCCACGTTTCATCTTCAATGCCCTTGCTGATGGAAGGAGGTTTTCACTCAAAATCTCACGATACATGGCCCCATTCATTCTTTCCTTTACACGGATCAGTCGTCCAGGTCCCTTTGCAGAAAAACAGCCCCAAAGCATGATGTTTCCACCCCCATGCTTCACAGTAGGTATGGTGTTCTTTGGATGCAACTCAGCATTCTTTGTCCTCCAAACACGACGAGTTGAGTTTTTACCAAAAAGTTATATTTTGGTTTCATCTGACCATATGACATTCTCCCAATCCTCTTCTGGATCATCCAAATGCACTCTAGCAAACTTCAGACGGGCCTGGACATATACTGGCTTAAGCAGGGGGACACGTCTGTCACTGCAGGATTTGAGTCCCTGGCGGC